AGCAGATTTCACCGTACTCTTTAAATATTTTCTTCTGGTTCCTTTTAATCATCAATGTAAATTTTCTTTGCGTAGGGCAATGATTTGGTTGTTGGGATTTCGGCTAGACGGCGCTTGAAATTGTTCTTAGGTGTACAACGGAGAGAGCACTCGACGAGATTGCGGTCAGATTATGCAATCCCTCTTCCAGCATTAAGAACCCAAGCTAATGGAAGACTTCTTTATTGGCAACGTGTACTTTGAATGAAATTGTCGGTTACTATATGACACCACATAGTTGGAAATGTTGTTTTGATATTTGTGCACTTGTTTCTGCAATTGTGTTTTGTTTGATAATCCCGAGATTTCATGATATTTTCCGATATTTTTACCGCAATATTAGAAAGTTCTGGTAGGTAACCGAGCACATAATTCCTAAATTGTTCTTTCTTACATATTGTGCGTTGTTTTACCGTATATGTCAAACCTCCTTGGAGCCTTCCGAAGGCAAGAAAGGTGGGGGCGTACACGACGGTCACAACTGATAAATCGGGCGCAGTTTGGTGTGGTAAAATCTTAGGTGATCATTTCCATCTGATTTCTCCGTTATTCAACGTAGATTTGTGTATGCCGGCACATTTTTGCTAATTAATTATACTTAATAAAACGGAACTACTTTACTTTACTTTAATGACGGATTGTGAGTAGAGTAATTTAAACGTGAAGGCCTAGCGCTGTAATCATCCACGCAACATCTTACTGTACGCACGATGAAATAAATTACCTACACTATATTAGGTTAGAAAATACCGCAGAACCGTTTGCACGAGTTCAAGAATTCAGTGAGGGGATTACTTCTATTGTGCAACCAAGTTGTTCAAGAGCAAGATGAACTGGTCAGTCTGGAGGTGACAAACCGGTTTTCCATGGATATTTGGAGATTTATTTAGTTCTTAACACTTTTCCGAATTAAATACCGCAGCGGTAAATCCTATTCACCAAGTATCTCACTACTTTCACGATTGACTGATTGCGAACTTCAAAGGGCTATTGGATGCATTAGTAAAACCTAGGCTTTGAAGGTTTCCCCAACGTCAAGAAAAGGACACAATTAATGTCAGGTTTTTAACTTTCTTGATGCACGTCTCCTTGTGAGGTTAAAGAGAGCGGTTAAAAGTAACTGAAAAAAAATCATTGTCGTTCTCTGGGAGAGTGCATGATAAATCAAAATAACAGAAACCGAATGAATACGCTGCCAGACGCAGACGTTTGTGCGTCACTTGCTCGTAAATTGTGTTTCATTAATTAAAATGTCAAAACACAGCCAAGTGTGATTGGATGTTGTAATTTGACGTTTCGGACCATAAATTGGTAATATGTATACGATTTTTAGTCATTGATTGTATACTGAGTATTTTGGTGCATTCGGTGGCAGCAGAGGTGTGGCATTCACTTTGGAAAAATAAATGACTTCCTCAATCCAAAAACTTGTTTGAGTTCCAAAAGCAGATTTTTTGTAAACAACAATAGTGTTTACACGTACAGCTTTGTGGTAATTTTTGAAGTGCGGCGCGAAATATTTTTTGGCCGATTTCGTGCTACTCGTGCGGGAGGACTGCAATTGCATCTGTACGGTAACACGGCAACTTCGCTGCTAACACACCCGAAATCGGCAGCACACACCAGAATTCCTTTCAATTATCACAGTCTATGAAACCCACCCGTGAGCTGTGCGTCGGAGACGTAATATGGTTGTTGGCTGTCGAAATTCCAGTTATCGATTTTTACTGCCCACACTCCTAATATAGTTGGAACGCCTGAAAAGAGTACGTCAATAAAATTATATTCACACAGTAACAGTTTCCGTCTTTTGTATCGTTACTTATGTGTGTCATGTTTCATTGAAACATTAGTTACTCGAAAAATTACTTACAAAACTGATATCACTTAAGAAAGTAACATGACTAAAAGTAGGCTAATACGGTCGCTGCACTCCGGCACACGAAGAATGATGCCATCCCACGAAATCTTGAGGCGTGATATTAGATATTATGCGTTTAGAGTGAGGAACGTCTGCCATATGCAGAAAGGGAAACAGACAATCCTTCTGCTAAATGTCTCGCCCTTATACCATAATTCATCAAACTTTAGAATTTACTGTTTATTTGAGATGTCAGAGAGGGATGCAACTTTGCTCTCCCCATATGCGTAGTCTGGCATCAATGGCGTGTTTTTATAATTCATGATAGAAAGTGATTGGGAATAAGCCAGATTCATGGATTGCTGTGCCGCGAAGTTACAGTTTTCACACAAACCCCAGAATTTCACGCTTTGATCTCCTTATCATTTAAAAGCGCCGCAGAAATATATATACAGTGAAAAAACAACAAATAATATGATTTATCGTCAAAAGTTGATTACATTTCCTTGATTCCAACCTTTGTTTCCGACAAACTGTCCGCAATATGATGCTCCCTTCGTGTGTACATATTATTGAACAAAATACTTATCCTGCTGCCCCACTCCTGCTATCTCCTTACAACCAGAAGGACCGCGGTTAAAAAGTTTTGGGCAGCTTATATATTCGAAAGGGCAAATGATGGGAACGTCAAAGCCGCTCCGTTTCGAATGGTATACTCAGTGGCCTCTCCGACAAGCGAATTATCTTTTTAGCGATTTTGGTGCATTTCTACTTGTACAAACGTTATGGATTTGAAACTGAATTCGTGAATTATAGTGTCCAGTGACAAAATGAGCGGCAGCGCATCCGAGACTCCCGCGCTAGTTGCACAGTAGAGAAACGGGTAAACTTTTTTGGGAAAAATAAACTCTCAACACAGCAACATGCAGCAATGTCGTTTACATACGAAGAAGGCACAAACTGGGGACGGAACACGTAACCGACCATAATATTAGGAAGCCATGAATCAGAAATAACTTAGAAGCACATGAAAAACCAGAATCCCCCAATGCAAAGAAAAAACAACCAAGTTCACAGAGTAGAAACATGAAAACAATAACACTCACGGTGGTTCTGTCAATTGTTGTTACGGAGAATCACTGCAGGCATATCCAAGGTTGTAGACACAACTTTTGTAATCGTTTGGCCGTTACAGAGAACAATGTGATTTTGCCTGATTAAAGCAGGCAAGTCAGATGCTTTGAGTTTCTCAATGACGTCATAAGTCGGACAAAGTGAAAGTCTTGTAAGAGCGCTTGCAAACATTATTTTGGGCAAATAAAGTATCACGCGCGATTCAACCTTACTGCGTATCACTCAGCAGACCCCTGAAGATTCCAACTTCGAGAATTCAATGGTGGTCAGCGAATCTATACTTGGTGGATGTTTTCATGCAAAACTTTTACCGTATGTTCCAGGGTTATGCACCGAGGTCAACTTTTCAAAGATACATTTCTGAAACATAAATAGTCAGTTTGAGGGAGACGAACTAGACAACCCTGGCAACTTTTCACCATTGACAACGATGCACAAGCCATCACCCCAATTTGTAACCACTTCCTCGCTGCTGTTTGTGTAGGAACCGAATTTGGAGTCCGCGTTCCGAAAAAAATTGAAGAACGTTGCAGATTTAATGACACTTAATAACGATTGACACTTCTCCACGCATGCATAGTAACCGTGCTCAACCTCCAAATATTCAGTCTCCCTGCTGTCCACTAGCTTAAATGTAGTTACATATAATTGACATCATTGGACGAATCCATCTTTCACCATGTGGTAGATCAGTCGCAGCACCATCCGGGCCATTATCTACTTATGAAATCTTATCGAATAGATAAACGGCACGCAGATTTTATTTTGAGGCAGACAGTAATTTCGGAACATACAGACCAACTCAGTAAATTCAAGACTCTAAGGTCCTCACGGACTTGGCGCTAATTTGGTTGCTTTGGTAACACAAATATCTCGTTCACCCTACTATGAACAATTTTGTTGAAAGGGAATCTCCATGGCCAACTTGTTTGTGCCAGTAAACCTCAGAATTAAGCGAATTGCAACAAGTTTTTTTAATCAAGTGCGCGGTTTTCGTAATTGGGAGTGACCATACTGAAAACCCATTATAAGATTCAAAATTGGGTAACAATTATCGGACATGAAATACTTTACAGTGGATCCGAATTATATTATAAGCTGAAATCCTCCAAGAACGACCATGCAGCAACCAAGAAGACCTAAAATAGGGATAATANTAATTAAAGGCAAAAAGATGACATCCGGTGCTCCAAAAGGCCAGTCAGCAAAATAATAAACAACAAGCGTAACGCAACATTACCCCCTAGAACGTGATCAAAACTTACACAATCAATAATCTGGGCACGGGAATGGTCAAAACTAAATATCCGTTGCTCGTCAGATAGCCTTACAAACTTCACAATTTTCCTGACTACCGTTTAAATAATACGTTAATGGTCGACCTAACGCAGCTGGTGCTTTATTCTCAGGATTCTCGCAGTCACTCTATAAAGCTGATTGCGTTGTTTAGTAATTCTTGTTCTTTTTGGCAAACACTAAAAAAATGCGCTGGCGACTGAAACATACAAATGAGCTGCCGATTGCGTCGAGCAACAGATTTTCACGTGCGTTAATCTGTCGAAGAGGCTACCCGCTGCAGCAGAATGATACCTCAATGTAAACTTTGAAAATGGGCAAAATTTTTGACACTAGAGCAGGATGCATTAAATTTGTACTTTTTCGAGGCCACAAAGCGTTCTAAAGTTTGTTTGAACCGCCTGTCATAGGCTTTGGCACTGACGTGAGGTGAAACTTTTATCGATGTTAGCATTTGGAGGGGTTTACCACCCCAGGAAAATGGTTGAGGCCTATTTATTACACAGATCACCTTTTAGAAGATGTACATACAATATCATCCGAGGACAAACTTGACCGTAGATGCTGCGGAGAAAATCGGGCTACAAAATTCTCCACATGGCTGGGAGGTTAGTGGGAAAATATCGATAACAGTCAGGGATGGTTTGTATATTCTAAGTTGGTACATCATGAATCAAAGCTTTCGTGGATGTGAAAGTGGGCG